TGACTCTAAGGATGGATGGATATATATATATATAAATATATACATATATATATATATATAAATATATACATATATATATATATATATATATATATATATATATATATATATATATATATATATATATATATATATATATATATATATATATATATATATATATATATATATATATATATATATATATATATATATATATATATATATATATATATATATATATATTGAACTATTTATTAGTGAAAACATATGAAAAAAAAAAGTTCTTTATAATATATATATAGAATATTTTATAAATAAACCTCTAACCTCTACAATTTCCTTGGTACAACAACTGGATTATGATTAATAAAAACTCTGTAAACATGAATTTTCTGATAATCTAAATCTTAATAAATTATAAACAATTAAACTTAAATAAAAATGTATGAAAATGATTAATGCTATATTAAATATAGAAAAACAAACATGTAATAACACAATTATACCCTAAACCAAATTCATTTATGCAAGAGAAATTATTATACATTTATAGAAAAGCCAGAAACATTTTTTTTAAGAGCAAAGGTATTAACAAGACTATAGACAAATTTTATTTATATCAAAATTTTCAATAAAAGTTAAACTAAGATAAATTTTATTTATAACAAAATGTTGTCATGGCTTTCATCCCAATTATTAAAAGCATGTGAAAGCATGAAACTACCCATAAATATCTTTCAACGCAAGACACCATTTAAGAATTATAGTAATCTATCTATATTTTCAATATTAACATCTATAACACGAAGCTTTAAATTTAAAAGAACAATTTAAAAAAAGATTGCAATAAATTAGTTACTTAATAAAATTTTAAAAAGATTATATATTACCTATAATTTTAAGCTACTAAACGTTATCTACTTAATGTCTGATTAAACATTTTGAACTCCTGAATAAAACTACCTATTAATCATTTTATAAACAACAGTTACCACCATAAAGATAAGCCAAAGATAACAACATTACGCAAAAAATCATCAAAGATAACGTTGTGTATTTTCAATATATTATATAAAAGGCTAGACAACACTTAGACCTAAAGCAGTGCTTGACTAGTAAGAATGAAAAATATATCTCTACATGTTTGCCAACTCACACCACTTTGAAATCATGGAAACAACATTATATAAACATATATACTAACTATAAAACACAATATATTTTTTTAATGTTATATAACATATAAAAACACCTCATTTAACAATCATATACACATTAGATAAAATACATTTCATACTACTATAACTCAACACTCTTGACAAATTCCAGAAGAAATTTTCTTAATTTTTCCTCATTATTTTTCCTCTTAATTTTTCCTCATTATTTTTCCTTAGAGAAAATATATATAGATATAGAGAAATATAAAATAGACTGAAATAAATCAAAAATCTTAATTTATGTATGAGAAAATAACTTGAACTTACTAAAAAAGTGATCAGCTTCTTTTAATTGCTCTAAAAAAATAAAACAAATACTGCTTAAAATGTTTTAAAAAGACTAACGACAAAACTGAAACAGTTTTCTTAAAAAAGAAACATTGTACTAAAAAAACTATTTTACCAGTCAATTTAGTTCTAACTTTTTTCTAAAAAATGAAAAATAAATACATATTTAGATACCTTAAAATGAAGCATAACACAACATCCTTTTGACAAATTCCAGAAGAAATTTTTTTTATTTTTCTATTCTCAGCTATTTTTGCTAAGAGAAAATACATATAGATATACATATATATATATATATATATATATATATATATATATATATATATATATATATATATATATATATATATATATATATATATATATATATATATATATATATACACATAACAAAGTAACAATTATTTAAATATTTATTTTAAAAAATAAATAACATCAATTCTTCTTGAAGATAAGTGTATCAGCTCCAATTTGCTTGCTAATTTTACTTGAAAGACCGCGTGGAGTATATAATATAAGTCTAGAAACAACTTAAAAACTAAGTTGTAAAAACTAATAGTGTATTTTACATAATGCAGAACCGTAATTAACAAAACGAATGATAGGCGTAACAATGCATAACTATGCGCACTAATAGTAATAATATTCATTGCCGTATTAATATTTATATATATATATATATATATATATATATATATATATATATATATATATATATATATATATATATATATATATATATATATATATCAGAGTTAGGTGTCACTACCAAATATTTGAAAGTGTATCTTTAGTAACCATAAGCCTGTACCACTCTTCCGCTACTTTATCAAACTTTAAAATTAGTAGCGCTATTCTGCAACAAAAATAATTTTTTCAAAAAGTAAATAGAAATTCTGTCCTCCTCTGCCATATTAAATTTTAGATATCCAAATATAAGTGGCAGTTTTTTTATTGTTTAATACTCTTTTTCGTGTTTTAAACTAAATTTAAATTTACTTAGTGTAAAAAATTCATAATCTTGCACCTTTTTACTTTAACTACTGTATCATCCACTGTGCAATAGTCATGGAAGATGCAGGAGACAACTGGCAGCTTGTAATATGGAAGCGCAAATAAATAAAAATACCTTTCAAATGTAAACAGAAGTGTTTTCTGGAACTGTTATCTATACTTTCAAAAGAAGTGCTTATCAGAGTCCTGTTTTCCAGCCTGCTGGAAAGCAGAATCTGTTATCTCTATTTTTAAAAATTCTGGCAAGTGATCCGACTTGTCTAATTACCGTCCCATTAGTCTTCTTACTATCATAAACAAGATTTTTGAATCTTTAATTAACAAACACTTAATTTCTCATCATGAATCTAACAACTTACTTTCTGATCATCAATATGGATTTTGATCTTTAAATTTAGGAAGATTATCGCAACAACGATTAGCTGAAAAAAAATGAGTTTTACCTCATTTTTTTTCAGCTAATCAAAATCCATCAATATGGATTTTGATTAGCTGAAAAAAAATAAGGTAAAACTCATTTTTTTTCAGCTAATCGTTGTTGCGATAATCTTCCTAAATTTATAAACGGTAATGTACTCAATGAATTGTCTACTCTACATCTTCTAGGGTTAACTCTTACTTCTTTTCTTTGATATCAAGTTGATTGCAAAGTTAGCATTTGCTAAGGTTATATCTCTTTATCATTTTTCCGGTTTCTTCGTCAAGATTCCAATCTTTATCTTTATAAATTTCAAATCTGTCTTTGTATGGAATATTGTTGCCATATCTGGGGTGGATCATCCAATGATGCTTTTTCTCTTTTACACAAGGTGCAAAAACTCATTGTAAGCGTAGTTGGATCTGTTTTTGCAGCCATTCTCCAACCACTATCACATTTTCATAATGTTGCTTTGCTTTTTTTTTTCTATAATTACTATGGGCACTGTTCTAAAGAGCTACTAAAATTCATTCTTGTGTTACTTGTCATTCAATTAAGTCTCATCCTTTTACTTTGACTGTTCCTTAAGTGCTCCAAAAATTCTCATTCTTCTAGTTTTTTTCCTCCTACATCAGTTCTTTGGAATTAGCTTTCTTCATCCTGTTTTCCTGATTCTTATAATTTTCAATGAGACAACTTTTTTCAAAAAAGTTGTCTGTTAATTGTTATTTTGCTCCATAAATTTCATCTTTTCTCTTCCAGTAACTTCCAACTCTAAATAGTGATTTCTTGTAGCCTTATGATGCTTCGTAAACATGTTGGATGATGTTTTGTAAACATGTTAGATGATGCTTCGTAAACATGTTGGATGATGCTTCGTAAACATGTTGGATGATGCTTCGTAAACATGTTAAAAAAATTTTCTGAGAAGTCGTTACAATACAGCTATATATACTTAAAAAATGTCAAAAGTCAAAATTTACATCTATCAATTCTAATCATCCCTAAAACCTAAAATTAATTTTTCAGAATATACAGAATTAGCTACTAAGCCTATTTTTTATTTTTTTAAATTGTTTTCTGGATTAAAAACTTACTGGATTAAATATTATTTCTGAATTAAAATTTTCTGGATAAATTTTTGTAGATTTAAGTTGGCACTTTCCTACTATATTTTGCCCACACCTAATTTTTTTTATAGAAAACAAAAAAAAATTAAAATTTATAAAATAAAGAAAGTATTTTTTGCCATAATAAAAGTCCTTCATAAGTTGATAGTATCTACTTAAACTCTTAGTCGATTTATCCAATGAAGTCCTTCTAGGTAAGTATTTCAGTTTTGACATTTTATGAAAGATTGATCATGCTGAAAGGTATGCAATAAAATTTATGCAATCAACCCTTCTCTGGTGTTCATTGCATAAATTTTACCTATGTAAAAGACATTTATTTTAGAAACAAAAAATAAATCTTCCTGTGTCTGGATTCAAGTTAACGTTTTTAAAAATAAAGTAAAGAAAGTATAATATATTCGTATAATGCTGACTTATTCTACAGTAAGAGTTTTGACTACATCAAAGTTTAAACACTTGCGACTTGAAAGTTTAAACACTTCTGACGTCAACGTTTAAACACTTCCAACATCAAAGTTTAAACACTTCCAATGTCAAAGTTTAAACACTTCCGACATCAAAGTTTAAACACTTCCGGCGTCAAAGTTTAAACGCTTCCGACGTCAAAGTTTGAACACTTCCTTAGTTCTTACTTAGTAGTAATTCCTTAATACTTAATCTTTATTTAAAATTTTCCAACAAAATTTTTTGTACAATTTGTTTCTTCTATAAAACATATGAACAGCTAATTACTATTTAAACCTTTAAAAACTAATTTAAAGTGTTTTTTTGTTAAAAAGTTATTGCTATGCTTAAATACTTGAAAGGTTATTGTTTAGGTAAAAAAAGGATAAAAGAAAATTTCAATTGACAAAATTTGACTTAATCTAAGTTTTATTGACTTGATAATGATAAAAAAACAAAAAATTTAAAAACTAATTTTTTATCAACTAATTTCTTTTTTAACAGCGCGTATTGGAAAGCAGTATTTAATTCAATGCAATGATCTACCACAATATCGAATTGGTGTTAGAAACCATGAAACAGCAGCTATTGTTTTCAAAAGCTTGGATGAATTTCGTGTTGTTAAAGGTATGGTTATTTAAAAGTTAGTTTAAAAGTCAGATATTTAAATCATAAAATATAGGAAATATACTTTTCTACTACTATGTATGCCAGATATGCTTAGATTATATGTTTATAAAATGGATATATATATATATATATATATAATATATATATATATATATATATATATATATATATATATATTTTCTTCTGTTTTTTCCATTTTGGCCTGTTTTCCTATTTTTTCCTGTTTTTAAGGCAATAGCCTGTTTTTTTTTTTTAAGTCTGACAATATTTATATATAAAATGGTATATTATGGATTTAGGAGGCAATCAGGATAAAAAGTTTTTCAAGCAAAATTTACTAATTTTGCTTTAGGTATAATATTACTCAACATAGTTTTAACATCTATTTTTTTGAAATAGAATATTAAACCATGTAAATGTTATAAATTTAATTTTTGAATAACTTTTGTTAAACATGAATAGTTAAATTATAGTAATAATTATAAAATTTTATTTTATTTTTAAATGAAGTTTTAAATGAACTTGCGCAATCGGATTCATAAATTAAGTTATATTATTTTAAAGAGCAATTTTTTTCGTGTTTTGCTGATCAGGGAGTTTGGTGTGACAACTAGAAAGATTACCATCCTAACCTCATACTGCAATTTTATTTTAGGGTTTAGGTAGTTTTATAGTTTAGGTGGTTTTGATTTTTAAAAGTTTTAACTGCTATATTTAAACTTTACAATGTTTTTCTAGACTCTGTTATACTGATATAAACCTTTTAGGCAGCCAGGAATGCAATTTATTATTTTTATTTTTTAGCTAAAATAACTTTTTTTGAAGTAAATATTTTGGTATGGGAAAGACTAAATATCAATTATCCTAGGAATAGAGCTATCCATGGATAAAAGCTTCAAGTAAGCCTGTTAACCATGGCTTCTGTAAATTTTGTTCTGTGGACATAAACATTTCAGCTGGTGTAACCCAGATTAATCTATATTTGAAATCAAAGAAACATAAGCAAAATGAAAAATCAGCTAGATCACAGTCTAAATTTGTGACAATTTTAGATGGTTTAGTTCTGAAACTACCTACAAAAAGCAAAATTATAAATTACCAAAGACCATGTAGTTACGGCTGAAATTGTTCGTTGCTTAGATATAATTGATTCAAACTGCATTTTCTGCAGCTGATGGTGACAACGCTAAGTATAAGTGTATGTTTTCGAATTCTGGTATTGCTAAAGCATATCAACAAAAATCTGAAAAACTTAAATATATGATTCAGTTTGGCATTGGCCCTTAAATTAAAAAAATTATTCGGAATGAATTGAAATGTTTGCCATTCGCATTTCTATTTGATGAAACAACTACATCACAGAAAGAAAAAAAAATGACGCTTATGCCACAAACCATTCTAATCACTTTCAGCAAATAATAACATCATACTTGGGGGCATTGTTTGTAGAAAGATGTATTGTGGAAGACCTTCTTGCTCATTTTAGAAAATTGTTGGGGAAAATTCAGCTGCAACCAGAGTCAATTCTCTCTATTAGTATGGACAGTCTTAATGTTAATGAATTGTTCTTAAAAAAATTAGAAAATTATTTTGAAAAAAAAAGGAAAATTTATTAATAATGTTGGTTCATGTCCTCTCCATACAGTTTCCAATTCTTTTTTCGAAGGTTTGAAATCATTGATTTCTGAGGATATTGATTTGGACCAATTGGCTATTGATTTGTACAGTTTTTTTAAGTTTTCTGCAAAAAGAATTGAAGAATATTTTGCTGTGGAATCATTCACTGAGCTCCAAGGTAAACGGATGTTGAGACATTTCTCTACTCGATGGATAAGCATTCAAGACATATTAGTGAGGATAATGGAGCAGTTTGACAATTTGGGAGAATCTTGGACACCTTTAGAAACACTTAAATCACTAATCTTGGACACCCTTAGAAAAACTTAAATCACTAATCTTGTACATCCTTAGAAGCTCTTAAATCACTAATCTTGGACACCTTAAGAAACACTTAAATCACTAATCTTGGACACCCTTAGAAACACTTAAATCACTAATCTTGAACACATCTTATAAACACTTTAATCACTAATCTTGTACACCTTTAGAAACACTCTAATCACTAATCTTTGACACTCTTAGAAACACTTAAATCGCTAGTCTAGGACACCCTTAGAAACTCTTGAAATTCAAAACTTTTTAGAAAAAGAATAATACGCAAGATTTAGATGCACAAAAAAAAAATTGTACATTAAAAATAATTATTCTCAAAAAATTTTCAAGTTCTGTTAATTATTTTTTCTAATTCTGTTAAATAATTTTTTTAAACTGTTAATTGTGAAATACATGAAATTTAAAATTTTTGATGTATTTTGTATAAAAATTATTATACATATTTTGCATATTTGATATTAATATTATTGTTATTATTATTACTACTATTTTTTTTATTATTATTATTATTTTTTTTTTGGTTCAAATATCAATAATATCAAAAAAATGTTGACAAAAATGTAAAAGATAAAATAAATAACATGAGCAACAGAATACATGAATAACAGGATCCTTGAGCAATAAGATTCATGAACAACAGGATACATGAACAATAGGATACATGAGCAAGAGGGTACATGAACAAGAAGATGCATGAACAACAGGATGCATTAACCACAAGATTCATGAACAACAGAATACATGAACCACTGGATTCTTGAACAATAGGATACATGAGCAACAGGGTACATGAACCACTGGATTCTTGAACAATAGGATACATGAGCAACAGGGTACATGAACCACTGGATTCTTGAACAATAGGATACATGAGCAACAGGGTACATGAACCACTGGATTCTTGAACAATAGGATACATGAGCAAGAGGGTACACAAACAAGAAGATACATGAACAACAAATTACATGAACAACAAATTACATGAGCAAATGTTTTAAAAACAATTCTTATTATGCTATTATGCAGTCATTTAATGGCCTTAAAATTAAAAGTACTACATTTGATGTCAAAAAGGTTAACATTATAATTGATTTCTTTGATATCAAAAGTAACTTTTCTATGGTCATACTTGCAATAAAATCATTGTTTACTGATGTTTAAGCTTTTTTTAAGGTATTATAAGTTTTACTTATAGAATTTTTTTTTTATAAGTTTTTCAAGCTTCATCATTTTCACCTTTATAAATTTCTAAAATGCAGAATACTTTATTTTTTGATTTTTTTATAAAGAATTTTTTTTAATTTTTTTCTTATTTTAATATATTTTTTTAATATAATTTTTAATTTTATTATCTAACTATCAATTTTATGACATTTTTTTATTTGTATGTTTTGTAACTTTTTAGTAACTTTTTTAATCAGTTCTTAGCATGTTATAAATTTTTAGCACTCAATGGACAAAGTCAGTATGTTTCTCTTCAATCAGTCAATGATAAAGATAAATATTTACGTGTTCAAGGATTTGGTCTTAAGCTACAATCTATAGATTTTACCTCTGAACATTTTAATGGTGATGCATCTTTTAACTTACTCGAAAGCTATTATTACCCAGGCTACATTTCTTTTGAGTCAGCAAATAATCCTGGATATTTTCTTAGACATGAACACTTTACTGTTAAGCTGCTCAAAGAAGAACCCTTCGATGAAAAATACAGACGAGCTGCAAGTTTTAAGCTTGTGCGATCTTGTAAGTTTTTTTTTAATGTAAAATAAATTAATTTTTTAATGCCTTAAAGTGGATGTGTTAGTGCTTAATCTCTTTTTAGTTTTGGGTTTTTAAGGTCCAGGCCCCAAATGAATGTAGGTTTTTAAGGTCCAGGCCTCAAACAGTATTCTAGACTTTATACTTAATAAACATATACCCTAATTATAAAGTTATATGTTCATTTAAAAATTTGAAGAGTTAAACATGATTTTTAAATTTATAAATATGATGAATTTAAACATGATTTTTAATTTTATTATTTCTCAATTTTTATTTTTCAATAATGTAATTATAGTTTATTATTCCTTAATTTTTATTTTTCCTTAATTTTTATTTTTCAATACAATTATGTAATTATAGTTTATTATTCCTTTAAAGTTTTTTTTTAATATAGTTTGTTTGAAATTCACATTTATACAATCTTCATCGTAAATATTTTATGTGAAGAATCTTATTTAAAATAAAGAGCCCTATAATATACATTAATTATATAAGGAAAATCAATTAAAAATAATAACAATATAAATATTAAGTGTATTTAAAATAATGAGTAATATATTAATGTAATAATGAGTAATATTTAAATGATAAAAATGTTAAAATAAAAATATTTTAAGTAATTATTTAATAAAATGTAAAATGTAGCAATATAGATTTATATGTAAAATGATATAAAAAGTCTTGATACCTCTTAATACATTTTATGCTTTTTTTTAAAACCTATAAGGATGTGTTTTATTTAAATATCACTCAAAAACTTTGCAAAAAAATTTTTTAAATATTTCCTAAAAATGTTTCTCAAATGATTGTTTTTTTTTAAAACTGTATTTTTGTACACTATATTTGTATATGTACTCTATGTTTGTACATATAATATAAATGTAATAAATCATATCAATAATATAAATGTACAATATAAATGTATTGCAATTTTTTTCCCACATTTAAGCAATAATATTTTGTTTTTATTGTTAATAATATTAATTAATATATAAAATATAAACGTTGTCTCTAGATCATATCCCACTTGAAACAATTTAAATGATATTAGTATTTTGCCGAACAATCAAATGATAGACTGTTATACTGCCTCTCCAAACCAAAACCCTCAGTCAATGTTGTTGGTTCACTTATTTGCATCTATCTCTAAATCAGTCGATACACATACATTTACTACTTTTATCCCTAAATAGCATGTTTCTCAGCAAATTACTGAAATTTTCAAAATCATTTCAAAGGGGATATGACCTAGACACAACCAATATTAACTATAATGTCAAAGTCATTGTTCAAAAGGACTTTCACCTTTTCAAGGACAAAATGTTGCCTTGGAAATAATGTTGTGTTTGTAAATTTTATTTTAAATATTGTAAGAATTTTTAGTTTGTTATTAAAAAATCTCGAAAATGTCATCACAATCTGCATTTATATATTTCAAGATAAAACTTTCAATCAATCAAATAGTTTTAAAGAAATGAAACATTTAAAATAACAAAAGTTTAGATTTAAATTTTAATTTCGTATTTTATATCTCAAAATATATATTTAAAAACTTGTAATAGCATAATAGAAGTTGTTTGCATTTTGAATTAAAATAATTATTGTTGAATTAAGTGGTTAGCCACTTAATGGTTAGTCTTATATTGGTTAGCCTCTTTGCGTAGATGCATACCTTTTTTACTACATTTAGGCTATCTACTTCATGGTTTAAAGTTTAACCTTCTAAAATCATCTTGAATCACATAAAATCATCTCAAGTTATATAAAATCAAAAACATTTTTTCTACGTTTAAGCTATCTCCTTTGAAATAATTTTTCTAATAAATAGAGCAAAAAATAAGTTACCTTTTGTTTAAACTTGTTACGTACAATCAAACACAAAGTTTTAATAGTAGTTAAAGGTAAAATTTTCCTATAAAGAAAGTTAACAATAAAATACAAACAGATTCAGGTTATTGTTATTATTCTGAATTTTTGTATCAACTGGTTTGCTTGCTGGTTGCTATAATCTAATGTTTTGAGGTTTTTTTTAATGTATTTGTCCAAAAAATGTTGAATTTAGATTGGCCCTAAAAAATCTGACAATTCTGGGCACGCAATGGAATGCAAGAAATAAAAGTTGACAGATAATTTTCATAAAACAATGTAAAAATCAGAATTGTCAAAATCAATCAAAACATGAAATTTTTTAACATTGTAACCAATCAAAGCATTTTTTAACAGCATTTTGTCTGATATGCTTTAATGATCTCATTATTTAATCTTTTCAAGGATGTCATTGTTTAGTTTTCAATGGATTGATTTAAAGTAATTTTTAAATTTAAATAAAATTACTTTAGCAACTTTAAATTTCAATAAACATTTAATTTAATTTACTGCTTTTAATAAAGGAGATGTTGATATTTTGAAAAAGCTTTTGAGTTTGTTTTTTCAAAGTTAGATGAAAAAAAATTTAAATGATGTGACAATTAACAAGGAGAAAGTTATGAAATAGTGAAAGAGTTAAAAAAAGTCCGGAAGTTGTGGAATTGTTATATATTTAGCGAATCCAAATGGTAAAGATACCTGGCTCTTTAAATTTTTTTTTTAACTTTCTTAAATTCTAAAAAAAAGGATCTGCCAAAAATTACATTTCACTTTCAGAACAAACAATCTTAATTAAAAATTGACAACCAAATGGTTCAAATAAAATTGCTACTCCATAATGTACTATTCATACATTCAGTCCAGTTTGTTGCTAAACTTAATAAATTTTTTAATTGATATTGTTGACAACCACTTAAGTTTGAAATGACATTGTTGCAAACCTTGGTAACAATCTTCATCAAAATATTTTGACATTAGCTAAAAAATTTTGCTAAAAATGATCAAATAAGATAGTAATGATCGTCCTATCAATGTAAATTTTGCTAAAAATGATCAAATAAGATAGTAATGATCGTCCTATCAATGACGCAATCTATTGATGATTGAACAAATTCGATTTTTTACCAATTTTTTCCTGCTACCATTTATTACCTAGAACATATTTAGGAGGTATCATCAGACATTTTCTAAAAATGTTGTTTTATGACACACATCCTTTCAAATAATTTCAATATAAATATTTATAAATTATTGGTTCTTTAAAATAATATATACATTTACATATATGTAATTTCAACCAATGAAACACAAACAATATTTGTGTTTTTATTGTATTGGCAACTTCTATTTAAATAAATTCTAAGTTCAGCTTAAAAAATTTCAAACTATTTTTTATACTTTATAAAGAAATAACAATCTTTTTAAAACTTTTTAACAACATGTTTCATCAATAACAATTGACATCATCTGGTATAAAAAAATTAGTTACAATTTCTGTATTTTATAATTTTATATACAGAAAAAAATTAGTTATACAATTTATGTATATATTTTTATGTACAAATATTGTAACTATTTTTTTTATACCTGATAATACAATTGTTATTTATGAAAAAGTTATTAAAAGATTGTTTTTTATTTGAAAATTATTTTTAAAAAAATCGTTAAAAATTTTATAAAGGAAATTCATGATTATTATAAAAGTCACAAGTTTGCCAAGTTTATTTAAATGCTATAGGCTAATGTTACACATAATAAACTTATAAACATACTTAGACCACAACACCACTTATTCAATCGATTAGAAACAAAGTAACGTATTAAAATAATAAAATGATAAAATTCTGAAATCAAATCTTTTAAGTAAAACACTTAGAGCCTAATTTATGTAAATTTGCAATGAAAAAAATTTGTACAGAAATACAACTATTGCATTGTTATAAAATGTAAAATTAATTTTTATTACTTATAATAACCAGAATCATTTTATTTATAAATAAATTAGATGAAAATATTATATTTTTACAGGATAACATTTTGGTTAATTTTTATTTTATTTTGCCATAAACTAATTTTGTTAAACATATTCTGACGGCAAAAAAAAATTATTATTATTATAAAAATTGTTAATCAGGTATCAAAAATTATTAGTTTGTGTTTATGATTAGGTGTATTCAGAAGTTAAGAAAATTGAAAAAATTTCATTAACTAATAGACAGTTTTTTGCGGACTATAATAAAAAATAAATAACATATTTTTGTCAATTTTTTCTTTACCTCGCGCTTGCCTCATCAAGTTTGTAAATAAAAAATTAGTATTATTTAAAAGAAATTCGAATATTAGTATTATTTAAAAGAAATACGAATATTAGTATTATTTAAAAGAATACAAAACATATTATTATAATTGTCTATTTTCCGTCTTTGCAGCATTCCTTTAACTACTCTTACCAGTTGCAATCAATCACTGAGACCCGTGTTTTTCTGGCGGAGAATCTTCTTATGAAGATCTAATTTTTTTTTACATTTAAAAAATTATTTTTATTATATTTTTATATTCTATACTTACCACAGTCAAATTAATTTCAATAGCATTCTTACATTCTGCATTACCACAGTCAAATTATTTTCAATAGCATTTTTACATTCTATACTTACCTCAGTCAAACTATTTTCAATAGCATTCTTACATTCTATACTTACAACACTCAAATTATTTTCAATAGCATTCTTACATTCTACGTTTACCACAGTCAAGTTATTTTCAATATTTCTGTAGCCTAACTTTATTGTTATTGGACTTAAAAATTTAAACAACACATTTAATAATAAGATTTTGTAATAACATTTAATAATAAGATTTTATTTTTATGCGTATATAGCTTCATGAGGTTTGCTAGTATTGCTGCTGGTAGTATCAAAGCAAATAGCATGCACATAGTCAGCTATGTCCATCCCCTTCAAAAGGTCACTGCATTAACTCCTTTAGGCCAATTCCAAAGGAAGAGGTTGGTATCAGGTCAGCAAAAAAGTTTGACACAAAGGGGTTAAAACTTAGAAATGAGGTCGGCGATTTTTTGCCGACTTCAAACATTTTTAGGTCGGGATAGCTGAATGCCGACACTAATTCTGAGGGCTGATTATATATTTCGCAAGTTTTTTAAAAAATTTATCATTTAAATTATAGTTTTAAATTGAAAATTATTTGGCTTACGTACATTTTATATTTCAGAACAAATATCTCACCTAAAACCAACACCAAGCTGGCAAGGTATCAACATGTCAATTTTTGTGCTCTGTGGCTTCTTTTCCTAGAGATACAGCAGAGATACTGTAGCAGAAATACAGCAGAGATACTGTAGCAGCAGATACAGCAGGTGCTTCAAAACATCAATCTTGAGAGAAAGCATAACAGACTTCATTTTTTGCTTCTTTCTGAAGAGTAACTAGAAAATTAAACTTCATTCTAATACTTTGGTGGCTTTTTTTGGGCTTGTCAGAGCTGAAACAACCACCGCCACTGTCAACAGGCTTTGATTAACTCGTTCTTGTTTATTTTGTCAACAATTTAAATGATTATCTAATTGCCATTTGATTAAAAAAAAGTTTTATAAATACTATAATAACTATGCCAAGAGAACTACAAAGTAGCTACGTCACAAAAAAAGAGTTCAATTTTTTGTATTAAACTTCACAACTCTAAATGTTTTATTATCATTATCATTACTAAACAAATCTTTTATTTGTTGTAATCTTCAAGATTTGTCATTATAGAAAATAGAAACGTGTCTAACAAGAAAAACATGATTGCATCATTATTAGAAAGTTTACTAAAAAAAGTGAAGGGAGCCCACCTCCTTTTTTTTTTTTCAAACGGTTAATTAATATAAGCTATTGATTATTATGTTTCTATTTAAGCATACATAAAAAAAATCAGAGATTTATCTTCATCAGAAGATTCTCCGCCAGAAAAACTTAAATTTCAGTGATCAATTAATCGCAACTGGTAAAAAGTGTTCACAGTAGTTACAAGACTGGCGCAACACTAGAAAACAAATCTACAATGATAATTTTTGGTATTTGTCTTTTAAATAACATAAATCTTCATTTGTTAAAATATATTCTCGATATAATGTGCAAGTTACCAAAATAACATTTTTTTATTGACAACTTGCTAAGATTAGCGAAAGGTAAAATTTTTTTTTTAAATTTTATTCCGCAAAAGTTTACTATTTGTTAATGAAAATTTTTCCATGATCCAACTTTTGAATACCGCTATATGTGTATGATGGATCCAGTGTATGATGGATCCAGTGTATGATAGACCCAGTATCTTTATAAGAAGTATAGAAATTTCTATACTTCTTATAAAGTTAAAGTTGTTAAAATATATATTTAATAAAGTTTCAAGTGCAATTCAAAAATCCAAATAAAAATGATTTTTTTATTTTGTAATTATTTTTTTATTTTTATAGCCGTAAATGCAAGTCGATCGATTTTGAAATTAGTTTTAGAAATGAACCTAAAGAACAAAGTTCGAGATCGTCTCCATAGCAATAAAGTTTGAATGTTTACGCCAAAAACATGGATGCAAAAAATATAAAAATTAAGCAAAGATTTTTATTGAATAAATTTGATTTACTTTGTTATTGTTGAGTTCAATTTTATTTTTAAAGTTAAAATCCTGAAGAGATAAAGAATTGCGTAATGAAAAAAAAATTCTTTTTTAAAGTAAAGTTTTGAAATATAAAACTTTAAAAAAGATTTTTCAATATATTATGTAAGATATATCGATATAAAGATTTTTTATATATTATATATAATATATCAAAGTATTTTTAAAGGTTATAAAATATTTTTATATATCTTTTCAATAATTTGCTGAGAGTTCGTTACGTTTACAAAAAATTTATAACTCAAAATATTGGCCAGTGGTGACAAATAGAACATTGTAACGGTCGTAACGGTAATACGCGATAAGTGATCTAAATTTATTTTAAAAATGTATATATATATATATATATATATATATATATATATATATATATATATATATATATATTTATCTATAAAAAACTATTAATAGTTTTTTTTGCAAACAATAAATCTGCGGGTCAGGCTTACAGATATCGTCAATTCTCTATAATATGGCTGATCGCGGCAGTAATAATTTACCTGTAAATCAACTGGTAAATACATTAAGTTATCCTTTAATTTTACTGAGCTCAACCTTAACCCTTAAAATGTGACAATATTCGCACAGAATTTAGATTTTGTACGAGTAAAAGATTTTTTGTTTTCCTTTCTTTTGTAACATGATACGTTTTGATATATATGAATAATGGAAAAATATCTTCTATAAATTGTTTTAACTAGCAGACCAATAAAAACCATAATAATTGATTTCGATTTAAAAAATACCAATATAATTTAAGATATTATTTTTCAAATTGAAAAAACTTTTTTTTTCTTTTACGTTAACTGTTATAAGCCGTGGCGCAGTGGTTAGAGTTCTGGCTCAGAACTAAGAGGTTCGACGCTAGCTTTAGCCCAACAAGCAACATTGGTAGGGAAGGAGGCGTGAACTTTTTGTTAAATGCTCTCCCGCGGTGCTCTATGATAAGACCGTAAGGACTTCTGGGAGCAACTAAAATAACTACAATATATATATATATATATATATATATATATATATATATATATATATATATATATATATATATATATATATATATGCATGCAACATTACTTTTTGTCCATAGATTCTTAATGTATTTCAACTTCTTGCATCTGAGGACTGTAGGGAAACAAATTGAGCACAAAGTGTAATTTTAAGACTGCAGCACATAAAAAATTTGTTTTTATCGAGACAGAATAAGATAAATTTCATATTTTTGTTCATTTATTCTAATAAGGAAAACAAAAACGTTTAAATAGATTCAACTCGTATTTGAAGTCCTCAACTGTGTTGCAGCTTTTTCATGAAGATATTTGATACCTCTTATGAAGAGTGAGAGTAAGCAGCTCTGGGTTTTGTGGTATTGGGGCGTTTTATCCTGAAAGAAAATCTGAATAATCGATTTATGGTGCACTTGGGCTTGAGCAGAGCTGTTTGGAATCAACAAGTTATAGTGTTTTGAGTTTTACATTACACTAAAAAAACTATAACGCTATAAAAAGCAAAAATTTTGTAATATAGAGAGATTGATCAAGACAAAGCAATTATCAATATGCTAATTATGACAACTTTCAATGCTGCTAACAGTAACTCGTTTCCTAGCACTGGAACTTGATGGAGCAACTGATAAAGATAGAGAAGTTAAAAGCTGAACAGTAGAATAATTTTATTTAGAAGGCATCGATTCCTTTTTTTTTAATTTGTCGAGATAAACCCTTTTTACTTGACGTAAACAACTACAAAAAGCAAATAAGTATCAAAGTTGTTTGAGTTAACATTTTCTATATATAAGGTAAGGTTTGTGATTTCTACCAATACAGTTTAGATCGGAAAAAACAAGAACAGTTCTTTCCTAATGACTTTAAGCTATTATCCCACATCTACGACTTGAAAAACAAGTCCAGAATAGCTTCTAAAACAAATAAAAAAACTGTTGCTATGAGATCGCTAAGTAGTTTTATCCGATAGCGCGGCCCAAAAAGGACCAAAATTAAGCTTATTAAAAGAATTAAGTCAAAGGATTTTTAAAAATTTCAACTCAATCAACCAATCTTTCGTAAAATTAAGAAAAAAAAAAAAAAATTTTGTTGATATAAGTGTTAATAATGTTTGAAATGAATTTTGGCCAACTTATTAATGGTCAAGTTCACTGTTTTATAACAGGTTGGTTTCCTTTTTATAGCAATAAGAGAAACACAAAAAAATCCTGTCACAGACGGAGCAGAGTTGACTACGAATCACTGACAAACAGTGTGCTCTCATATGAATGGGATATTTGAGGGAACCTCACCAAATAAAAAAGGTTGCCGACCCTTGGTTTATACAATTTTTTGTAATACTAGACTCTATTAGAAATAATTGGCTTTCACTGTGAAACAGGATTATATCTAAAGTTAAAGTAAGGAGAATGGAAACATTAATGCATAGCGACTCTGTACTGTACATAAATTAGGAAAAATATATAACACCATCAACGCAATTCTTTCATATGGGGGATGGGGTGGTTATTAAATGTTAATCTAATTTTATCGGGGAGTTCTCTGGAAGTTTGACATGTTGTTGACAAGGAAAGAGTTAAAAATAACTAAAAAATGTTGACGTAATAAATGGACAGCCCCTCAGACTAGTATTATGTTTATTTAAATTTTAATTTATGTAGCTTATTTTAATTTATGTTGCTTATTTTAATTTATGTTGCTATTTTAACAAATTGTTATTAACAAAACCTACTTCCACCTCAGACCCGTAGCCAGACTTTTTTTTGGGAGGGTTCTTTCTATTATCTGCCTGAAAACAGAAGTTTTCACGCAGATAATAGAAAGAACAAAACTTAACAATAACATAACTGTATCTGATGAATTAAATTTATCTTTCAATTTAACTAATATATGATTTATAAATGTAATTGATAAGATACCATATAAATATTTTTCAAATGTTTCAAAGTTCGGATTTGCTTGATGAGATTGTTGTACTCTGTGTGTACTCGTAGCTTTACTTGCATTAATTTTATTTTTTTGGGAAGAATTGATGCATGCTTATATATTTGTTCGGCAAACATATTTACGTTTAATCTCATCATTTCTATTTCTGAGAGTTTTAGCTTAAAAGTATATATAATATAACTAGAATGACTAATAACCAAATTCAGTCGCTCAGAAATTGGGCTTGTATACCTGATAATAAACCTGCACCATCATATTCCTGGCCTCTCATTTTTAATATTCAAATTAAGATTATGTAAAGTTTATTTAATTTTAGTGAAAATATTTTTTACTCTCACATGCTCCAACTTTACAAATACCACAAACTCCAATTATTCTGCACGTCCAATTATCATTTACCCATCCATTTGATTGAAAATTTTTTGGAAACTTTTTGGTTAAGTATGTTTTGTGATGTTTTGAATTTTAATTTCTTACGACATCTCTTTTATATTTTTCTCAATACCCCTTATGGTCATAGTAGACGTAATGACATTTTTAATGTCAAAAAAATTCTGAATACCTGACATCATTTTCGAACGTTCTAACATCATTTTTGAACGTTCTTTAATTATTTGAATGTTGTTTTGTTGATGATTACTGGTTGCAATAAAATATGTAGATGATAATTTGATCAACATTTTTTCGCGTGAAATTCATGAAAACTGTCTGAATTATCCGCAAAAAGTCTGAGAAAAAAACGTTTTTAAATGATCTTGACATATTGTCATGAAAAATTACACAGGTCAACAAAAAAAAAAAATTTTTTTTTGTAGAGTAAACAGTTTTGTAGAGAATTTCTGTTCTTGATTTCAAATATACAATTTATTTTTCACTATCGCGTCAAGTTGTAAAGATATTTGGGTTCAAATTTTTAGTTCATGGGGTAAAATCCCTAATATTGTCACACAAAAAATTATTCAAAAGTATGTCAACCTGGGTCTCAAAAAAAGGATATTTTCATAAAGATGTTAGATATATAAATATTTTTACTTAAAATTCATTAACAAAAAAAAATTGTGGAAAAATAACATTTTTTTTAATAATATTTATTACCCCAAATACCAAAGATTTGAACCCAAATATTTTTACAACTTGACGTAATGGTGGAAAATGAATTGCATATTTAAAATCAAAATGAGATATGCTCTACAAAAAATGTATTGTTTGATCAACAACAACAACAAAAAATTGTAGATTTGTATTATTTGTAATTGTTCTTGTACGAGTTCTATTGAAGACCTGCTCATGTTTTCATTTTGCGTCTGACTTTCTATTGAAGACCTGCTCATGTTTTCATTTTGCGTCTGACTTTCTATTGAAGACCTGCTCATGTTTTCATTTTGCGTCTGACTTTCTATTGAAGACCTGCTCATGTTTTCATTTTGCGTCTGACTTTCTATTGAAGACCTGCTCATGTTTTCATTTTGCGTCTGACTTTCTATTGAAGACCTGCTCATGTTTTCGTTTTGCGTCTGACTTTCTATTGAAGACCTGCTCATGTTTTCATTTTGCGTCTGACTTTCTATTGAAGACCTGCTCATGTTTTCATTTTGCGTCTGACTTTCTATTGAAGACCTGCTCATGTTTTCATTTTGCGTCTGACTTTCTGTTATGCTTCAATTCATGATATAATTAAAAAAAAATTTTTTATGATCTTAGGAGATGTAGTTCTATAAAAGGAGCAATTCGGGGTTGGTCAAGATTGTGTTAGCTTCAATTAACTAAACTTTTTGGAAGTCATGCTCGTTTGATTCCAGCATCAGCATACTAGAAATTTGAGTATGCCACTCAGTTACCTATCTTGAACAACAATATTACTGGACACTCGAATATAATACATGATTTCTCCCCGAATCCTTGGTAAAAAAAAGTTGTATTTTACATTTTGGGAATAAAAATAAATCTTCTGATGATAAACAAAAAAAAAATTCTGGGAATATGTTACAAGGTCTTTGAGCGTGTTTCTATGCAACATAAGTTGAATATTTAAATATTTAAAAAATATGTTTTCTTATTATTGGAAAGACATCTAACAGTATATTGCTACAAATCACTTTCTGGTATCTTATGAATTTTTAGAGAGCTTTCGCAATCTTGATTTCCATATATTTGACACAATTAAAAAAAGTCAAAATGTTTGTATATACATTAGATATTGTTTGGAAATTGGTTTTTGTGGGCTTGTTCAATATGGACATTTTTTACATTTAGTAAACTTTCAAATAATTTCCTTTATATGGTTCAACCCGCTTTCACACTTGCTTCTGTTAAATTTTATTGAAGTAGAAGAGATTATTACAAAGTTAAATTTGAATACATTTTTTGGTTTTAATCAAATTTATATTAGATTTATATTAGTAACAAGTTATACATTTAATAATGAAAAACTATAAAAAAGTGTTTTTTACATGTGTTTTGATAAAATCTTAAATATACATTTATTTATTAAAAATTTAATACTATTATAAAAATTATTAGAAATAAAACTATACTCAAAATAAATAAATATATATATATATATATATATATATATATATATATATATATATATATATATATATATATATATATATATATATATATATATATATATATATATATATATATATAATTATATATATATATGTATATATATATATATATATATATATATATATATATATATATATATATATATATATATATATATATATATATATATATATATATATATATATATATATATATGTACATATATGTACATATAAAATATATTATTGATGTACATATAAAAATTTGTTGAGTTCTATACTTTTATGAGTTTTTTAATATAATACGGTAGAGTATAACCAAAAGCAAGAAAATCGTCCTTATATATGTTGTACAACTTTCTAATTTCTGAAATCTTTAAACTCAAAAATTGCTTTTTCATTTCGGTTGTTGAAATTGGCTTATAACGATCTCTTGAATTTAAGGGAAATAAAAACTTTTGAGATATACCAGTGTTTTGAAGAATCGCGTTAGCGTCTTCAAATAATGTTTCCATTTTGCCTAAGTATTTGTACTGTAATTGACACGGAGAGCAAAGCTGTGTCATAGGACGCCAATGTTTATCAAAAGGTTTTCCAGATATAACATACTTAATAAATTCTTGAAACGTAACACCCTCTCCCTTCATATACTGCTCTTCTTTAAGGTCTTTTCTATATAATCGAAGAATCTCTGAGCCGTAACTCTTTTGATAATGCGTTGTGTAAGGATCCCGAAATTTATTTCTGTACGCTGATAAAAGTCTTTCAAATGGATGACGACTTATTAAAAATGAGTAAAAGTTTTTCTGACGAAAATCTTTTTGAGCATCGTCCAGACTTGTAAAATTATCATAATGGAGCTTATGAACCTAAAACGAAAATAAACAACATGTATAAATCGTAATAATAACTAACTCACTAGTGTTATGATTTATTCGACTTTAATAACTTACTGCATTTTTTTCAACAGCCATCACTTGATTTAAATCCATTTTTCCATCAAATAGCTGAAACATTCTTTTCCAAGTTGTACAAGCAGCCTTAGGTATGTAGCAGTAAAGAAGACTTTCTTTGTCAGTGTAAATCATGTGATCGTCTATTATTTTACTTGAAAAATTAGATTTACAAAATTCGAGCATTACTGTCTGTCTGTTTTCTTGTTGATCAAAAAGTCCTGTTGATTGAATATTTCGCTGAAAGAATAGATTAAAAGTACTTTTACTAATGTTATTAAATAAGCAAGTATACATATATATATTTAAAAAAATTAAATTAATCATTCAAGTAAATATAACTCCAAGATTTCTCGTGTTAACGCTGCAGCTTTGTACTAAACCCACAAAATATAAACCCAAAAAAAACCGGTACTCGGTTTTTAAACAATTTACGCTAAATAAATGTTTTCTATAGTTATATTACTTTTTATTTACAAAATAAAGATTTTCATAAATCTGTTATAAGTATTTTTGCAACTATATTTTCACTTTTAAAAGCTATTAAGCAATCATTTTACCTTGACACGACTAATTGAAGACAACATTTTCAATCCAAAGCGATTATTTTTACCTATTATGAACATGAGATTTTTTATAAAAGTAACTAAATTATGTGTGTGTATATATCTATATATATATATATATATATATATATATATATATATATATATATATATATATATATATATATATATATATATATATATATATATATATATATATATATATATATATATATATATATATATATACAGTGCCGGATCAAGGGGGCTAGGAGGAGTTTTAGCCCGGGCCCCGCAAATTTTAGAGGGTTTTTTTTTTTTTTAGTCATTCTTAGGCTCTGGCCCATAAAAAGGAACGAAAAACAAAAATAGCCCCGGAAGAGAGAGAGAGAGAGTGTGTGTGTGTGTGTGTGTGTGTGTGTGTGTGTGTGTGTGTGTGTGTGTGTGTGTGTGTGTGTGTGTGTGTGTGTGTGTGTGTGTGTGTGTAGAAGCAAATCAGATAAATTGAAATTAAATTTAAAAAGATTAATTTAAACTTACTAGCTTTTGCGGTTTGATTATCTGAACTATACATAATCGATTTGCTAGCACAAAAAATATACATTATCAATATCGTTTTATATTCCATAGTTTAAAACTACCTTTTGATATATTTTATTAATCAATCTCTTGAATTTTAACTTCTAATTTTCGCTTTTTTTTTTTATCTATAAAATATAATTTTAAATACAGAATATTGAAAAACACAATAAAAAAAAATAGTACAAAAAAGTAGATAAATAAATAAAAAATAAAAGAATTAAAAAACAATTTGAAATGAATTTAAAAATATTTTATCAGGCAACAAGCTTCATAAACACTTATTTTTTCGTATGAACAATTTTTTATATATTACAAAAAGCAATAAAATTCACATTTTTCATAATTACAACGGAATCGACCTTCGTTTTACTTCCGTTGATAACATATTACAATAGTTGCTGCTTTTAATTGCTTTAACAAAATAAGTTTTCAATTTATCGTTCAGAGTTATTAAATTTTAATAACTCTGCACGATAATTAATTAATTTAATGTATTTTTTACAATATAAATAATAAATGTAATGTATTTATGATAATATCATTAATAAATGGCAAAGCAATTAAATATGTGAAAAATTATTTAACGTTCTTTTTTTAATTATTCAATTATACTCAATTATCTAAGGGAACTGCCAGCGCCATAATTGGAGCTTGTTTTGAATGATTTTAACAAATATCCCTCAAAAAAAGCATATATATATATATATATATATATATATATATATATATATATATATATATATATATATATATATATATATATATATATATATATATATATATATATATATATATATATATATATATACATATATATATATATATATTTATATATTTATATTATATATATATATATATATATATATATATATATATATATATATATATATATATATATATATATATATATATATATATATATATATATATATATATATATTAGGGTGGTCCTTATAGGAGGTTGAAAATTTATTTTGGAAAAAATTTGGCGGGCGCCCCTCAAAATGTTTCCATTCGGTGTAAAAACACTTGCTTTTAATTATTGTTGAATTTTATTAACATTTAGGGTATGCTCAATTCAAACAAACTTTCGCATATAGCAGTCACTCAGTCTCAGTGTTCAACGCAGTAAAGTGACATGAATGTTTTTCAAATGTAAGATATTTGTATAACATAATGTTCTGAAAGCAACTCACTTAGTCATCTTCCAAACTAAATTATGTCTTCAGGCTTTCCACAACTGCTACTTTGCTTATTTCTGGTAACTTCTTTCTATGCTCAGCCACTACTTGAAGGATGAATTGCGTCTGCTCTTCAGATTTTGTCCGGAGTCTGCTATACTCCTGAATGAGGGCGACACCTCGCTCTGCAGTGTCGTTAGTAACTCGAAGTTTACCAACAAATGTCTGTGCTTCAGTAAAGGCAGGCAGATCACGCCAGATGGCAGGATCTTCATCGAAGAAGCTAGTTGAAATGTTCAGAGCACTAAAGAACTTCTTTGTATTTGTTGTAACGAAGTCAGGTATCTCCTTTTCTCTTATATCTTGGTCTAATAGAGAGATGCGTTTGGCTGGTTCTTGTACTCCAGGGTTGTCCAACGCCTTGACCATCTTTCTCTTGTCTTCAACAGAAATGGAATCGTCAAAAAAAGAAAAGCCTACGAGTACTTCCGACAAGTACCAAAGGTGTCCTTTTAACTTCTTCAAGGCAGCAAGCGATGTACAGTTTCCAGAAGCCAACAATTTCTTACAGAGCAGAAGGTCGTTCTTTGGAGCTGAGATTCCAAGACGAGAAGAAAACCAGCCTCTTATGTAGAACTTCACTGCAAACACACAGAGATCCTTGAGTCCATTGAGCTCACAGTCAGTAAGATGAAATCCACTGTTTCTGAAGATAAATATCTTCATGCTGTAAATGAGACGTGACATGAATCTGGCTCTGTGCATCGCTCCTGGTTTCATGAATCTGACACCTCTCGGAGGAACGCCTCCCAAGAAAATAATTGTTATTTCAAGGAGCTCTCTGTAATCGTCTCTGGGGTGTTCCGTGTGTAGCTGCTCAGTGGCATAGGAAAGAGTCCTCTGCCTGGTTTCCGAATCAAGTTGAGCCATTACAGCGTCATCCTGGATCCCTGCATGAAAGTCAGCAGTTTGAATGTTTGGCCAGAACTGTTTAAACCTCTTGAATAATTGTATCTCGGGTGATGATGAAGGGCTGATGCATAAGGAAAACACTTCCTCGAGCATAATCTCATGGATGTGGTGGCGGCATGCTAAGTACAGTACATCATGGCCGAGTTTTCCTTCCAGAAGAACACACGCTTCATTACGTCGCCCAGTGTTAGCCGCTGTTGTGTCAAAACTAAAGGCCTTAATATCGTCTTTGATCTTCCAATCATCAATTATCTGGACAATGGCGTCGCATATGGCATGTCCTGTTCCCGATGAAAGCTTAGGAACAGCTAGAAGCTGGTCAACACCATCAGAAGAAACAACAATCAGCAATCTGTCTACTTTTTCATCTCCTGTCAAATCCTTCATCAGCTTTCCATCCCAGTGGATAGTTAGAGGCTTTCCGTGACTTTGAAACTCTACTTTCAGCTCCTTTGATCTCAGTTCTCGATGCTTCAGCCGGTACCTGCGAACGGAAGATCGGTTCACAGCAAATTCTGCCGCGTTCTGGCCTGTTGCAGAAATAACGGATGCCACAGTGTGAACAGCATGCCTGTCACTGATCCCAGTTCTGTCAAGGGAACCAAGAACTTCCGGTGTAAGGATGTTTTTTCTCCCGCGTTTTCGAAGGCATGGATTTGGACTGGTAAGGCTTGATGTCGAAGGTCCTGAGAAATCTGCATCCTGTGATTCGTCGGAGGAGGTGTCTTCCAGCACAGCCGTGTCAAACATTTTCCTTTTCGCTTCCTCACTAGCATCTTTTCTCTTCTTCATTTGGTTATCTCGTTTTTCTTTCTCCTTTTCCTTATTCTCCAAGTTCTTGTCCAATCCTGCCATAGATCCTCGCCTACCAGGTTCCCGTTGAGCAAGCAAAAATTGCTTATCTTCTTCAATGTTTATCATTTGCAGAGCATCGCCATGAGAAATATCAAACAGATTCGGAAACTCAGCAATAAAAGCTTCTTCATTCCTCTTCTGTGTTTCAGTTTTTCTGTTTTTGTTTTTCTTAAGGTTATCCCAAGTCAGAACCAAATCTTCCAACTTCTTTATTGCTCTTCGTTCATCCCGGACTGGTGTTCTTGCACGGCTCCAGTACGTGAAGAGTTGTCGAATTGTTTCTTTGGCAGCTGAATGCTTCGTTTCTTCAACGACCTTCAGATGGTAAAAAAACACACCAAGGACGTCCTGTATTGATGGCAATTTAGCGCCTGTAAACTCTTCTTTCACTGTCCCAAGTAAATATATCTCAGACTGCTTCCTTGTCGATACTGCCATGACAACTTTATTAATTAATTTCTATAACACAAATAAAAAACACATGTTCACAAGCAACTAGTGTAGACAAAAGCACGTTAAAGTAAGCAACAAAGGAGATCAGGCTAAAACAAACCCTGCCACAGTCGGTACGGTGGTCCTTATTTCATACTTTTGGCATTATGGCGTGGCTGGACAGCTCGGGCACATACACCAAAACTCCGGGTCATTGAGCATACCCTAAATATTATTTAATTGTAAAAATCTTTCAGGGTATTTTGTTTTTGAACAATTGGATCCCTCCTAGGGGGCGCCCGTATTAAAATTCAAAAGTTGTAAAATAAGGACCACCCTAATATATATATATATATGGCATATACTGCTATAGATATACTGTTTTTTGTCTTTAATGCAATGGATTTAAAATGCATATAACAACATAAACGTATCTTATAAGTTGCTGCAAGCATTATATTGCAGTGATGTAATAAAATAGTCCAAAGTTTCCTTAATTGGAATTATAAAGTTTTTCTAACTTAACCAGTAATCAAAGGGTTTTAGAAATAGTTCAGGGGCAGTTTTAAAATACTTTGTAACAACAATAAACCTTAAAAGTAATATTTATTTAATGATTTTTATAAATAAATCAAGAGAACTTTAAGAGAATTTAGGGAAATTGCCTTGATTGGCAATTGGGAACCTGTTGCCTTGATTGGCAATTGGTTCTTAAAACAAAATAGTTTCTTTGCAAAAACGAATTTGTTTCCAATAACAGTGCAATCAGTTAATTTAAACTATGGTTAAAAGTATAGTAGAGTTGTCAGTTTTTTTAATCAAAAATGTTTTTGATTGTTAGATATAAAGATACCCAGGTCTCTCTTAATATCCGTTGCCTCAAGAGTTAGTGATGTATTTCCATTATTCATTATATATTCATAATTACTATTTTCATAACCAAGGTGCATAACTTTACATTTTGCATTATTCAATTCCATTAGTCATTCCTTTGACCTTTCTGTGACAATGTTTAAATCGTTTTAAAGAATCAGACAATCAGCATCGTGAAACTCAGTTCTTATTTCTTGTAATAGTTTAGTGTCATCAGCGTAGATTTTATAAACTGATTTTATCTTATTTGTTAACTCGCTCTTTTATGTAAATGATAAATAATATTGGTTCAAGCACAGACCCTTGTGAAACTCCGCTTAGAACATCGGTCCAGTCGCTAGAATGTTCACCTAAAACAGTTCGCTGTTTTCTACTAATCAAAAATGACTCAATTTATTTAAGAACATTGCCATTGTATTGACATACGCTTTCAATTTATGAAGTAGTTTACGGTGAGAAATTTTTATCAAACGCTTTTACAAAGTCCAAAAATGCTAGACTGATTAATTTTCTTTTAACTAACGCTTTCGTAATATAGTCGACACTTTCCAATAAGTTAGACGTGCATCCTTTTTCGGGCATAAATCCATGTTGGTTATGTGAAATGCCGCTCGTTTTTTCAAGATATTAAGTTATTTGTATCCTGATAATCTTTTCCCTTACTTTACGTGGAACTGACGTTGTAGACACAGGTTTGTAATTAGCGGCATCGAGAAGGCTTCCTTATTTAAACAACGGTGTAATGTGTGACTGTTTCAAAGCTGTAGGTATCGAGCTTTCAGACAATGCTTTATAGTAAAGTA